GGGGAGGGAGGACGGGAATGAGAGGCCCCTGCGCAGTGCCTCAGGTCCCTCTGCCAGCCTTCATTTCTGTCGCTGTCCCCAGCTTTCCCACCAGGAGCCCCAGGAGGGGAGGGAGGGTCTGTCTTCAACAGTCATTCTTCAACTCGGGTTTGTTACATGACTGAAGAATGACTTTGAGACGCCATAAATGTTAACTACAGGCAATATTAAAGAAAGCTTGGAGAACATTATTTGGACTCTCTTTCACTCCTTAATACTGCCTTTCAGACAAGAGAAGAAGAAACAAGGAGACGGCTTCGGAGTGACCGCCTTTTGCCCCCCGCCAATCGCCCGGACTCAGCCGAATGGGGTGGCGCTGAGGTCCCACCTGCCAAAGGACATAGCCCTGGGAGCTCTGCCGGGGGTGGCCCGTCGCACCTGCAGGGGGGAAAGCCACTGAAAAGGAAGAAGAGCCAAAGTGACGTGACCTCAAATGGTAGAGACCACAGCTACGAAGGCATCGACGTCGTGGAGTCAGACATGGGCTACAACCAAGAGGAGGACATATTCTAAGGAGCCCCTGGATGTGAACCCCATGAAAAAGCCCCTGTTTCCCCCAGGCACGACAGGCTTAGTGCGCCTCATCTTTTTCTTTGCCTGCCTGGCTGCGTGGACTAGAGGTTGAGTGAGTTAAACGGCCAATGACTATGCTTTAAAAAAGGAAGATCCGCCTGACTACCTTCGGTATCCAAAGTTGGCATTCTCCTTGGTTGTGGCTTCAAACTTTGTGAAGATGCCTTTGTGAGTGCCTGCCAGCTCCACTCATGTGTTTGTGCCAGATGAAACCCTTCCTTTTTGCTCCTGCCCCTTGGCTGGGCCCACCCTCTGAGGGGCAAGACAAATTGCATGGATCTTGTCAACCGAGGGTTGTTGGTCCCAATTCAACACCAACAGGAATCCCCAGTTTGAGGTTCAGTGAAGAAGGAAACTTGATTCAGTGCAAAACAGCTCAGTGGTGATAGAGCAGGGCTGTGAGACAGCCCTGGAGCCAGGCCCCTCCCCAGCCTGACAGCTCTGCTCCCCAGTCTGCTTCTGCGGTGCTGCTCTGCCCCACTGCGCTGTGGCCAGACACCGCAGCCAGGGACACGCAGTCTCCAGCAGGAGGGGAAAGTACACCTTTAGAGCCAGAGAGGAGCTGCTTATATGGACAGAAGTCCCTGCCCCTGGTCCCTGATTGGTCTGTCCTCATGCAAATGAGGAATCCAAATCCTTGCAGTTTGATTGGTCCAAAAGGCACTGTCTTGATTGGTCAGAATAGAGCCACTCTGGTTGGTCAGAGCTACAGTCCTATTGATTGAAATAGGATTCCAGGAACTTTTTTGTAAGGGCTGGCTCAGATGGCAGAAACAGTGCAGGCAGGCAGTTCAGTGCAGGCCTCTCCCTCAAGTGCAGTTTGTAGGAGAGGCCGCTGTATAGAAATGGCTGCTAGACTCTGTTTTTTAAAATTTGGGCCCAGTTAGCCACCAGGAGCCTGCTTAGCAGGTGTCTTCTTTCTCGGGGTTCACAATCTATATCATGTATTTTAATGATTTATGTGCTTCATGTGCTGTATATTTATCTTTTAAAATTCTCTGTGTTGAGAAGGAATAAAGAAATATCTTGAAGTTGTTTGAATTACAGTTTCATGCATATAGCTTAAGAAAGCAATATGCAATTCTCAGAGCTAAGTCAAGTATGGTTTCCTTCATACAAAAAAGAAAAACTCCAATTGTGTCTAGGAGTAGAAGGAGGTAAGCAGAGAGGAGGTCCTAATCCCAGTGCCTTACTTCCCTGCAGGCATTCCGGGCTGAAGAACTTGGGGGCCCTCATCCCATTGGAATTATACTCTAGTTCTTCCCTCTCCCTTACCACCCACATCCAATCAGTCATCAGGTCTCTGAGTCTACATTCTAAGGTTCTCTTGCATCCATTTCCATACTTTCCCCCGTCACTACCTGGTTTAGGCCACCCGTCATCATTCAGCTCGATTACTTCAACAGTTTCCTTGATCTTTATACAACAGTCATCTGTTTAAAACTCTTTGTTGGTGCCTTTCATTGTCAAGATAAAGTCCAGGCTCCATTTTGTGATGGTAAGGATCTCAGCTTTCACAATTCACCCATACTAAACTTCCAGTTCCTTAAACTCATCACATGCCCCCTAGCTTCTATGGTTTTGCGCATGCTGTTCCCTCTGTCCCCTCTTTCCTACTCACTATTCTAGTTGACTAATGCCTTCTTTTGTTTATGTCTCCACTCCGACCACTCAGACCACTTCCTCCAACCCCCGTCCGAGTTGGTGCCCCTCTCTCGTAGTTTCCTTTTAGCACCCTGGACTACTCATCTTTGCACTTGCCACTCTGTGGAATACCTGATAATGTTTTCATCTTCACCACTAGATATTTCAAGTCTATCAGGGCAGGAGATGAGTCTGTCTTGTTCATGGCGGCATGTTCTATAGCTCAGAAAGTGAATGGCACATCATAAGTGCTACGTAAATATTTCTTAAGTGGGTGAATCAATCTACCCATGCATCTTCCAGAAGCAGGAAGACAGCACCAGGAGATGGTTTGTTTTTCTGGGAATCAGTGGCTGGGGGAATGCCAATTTGACTTGAGGGCCCCTCAGTACCTCCTATTTATACATTCTCTTTGGGCTATTGCAGATGGACACCTTGGGTTTCTATAGCCCGTTGAACTTAGGACTCCTGCAGTCAGTGAGTATGATGGTGGTGGTGGAGGGTGCTTCTTTCAAAACCCATTTTAGAACCAAAGATTTTAAGAACCAAAGTTTACTTTCTTTAAAATTAAATTTATTGGAGTGACATTAGTTAATAAGATCATATAGGTTTCAAGTGTACAATTCTATGATACATGATCTGTATATTGCACTGTGTGCCCACCACCCAAAGTCAAGTCATCTTCCATCACCATATATTTGACCCCTTTACACTTTACTATCCCCTACCCTCTTCCCTCTGGTAACCACCATAATGTTGTTTGTGAATTTTTGTTTATTTTTCTTATTTGTTCATTTGTTGCTTTCAATTTTATATCCCACATATGAGTGAAATCATATGGTTCTTAACATTTTCTGTCTGACTTATTTCTCAGGGTCCATCCATGTTGCCACAATGACAGTACTTCATCCTTTCTTATGGCTGAGTAGTATTCCACTGTATCCATGTACCACATCTTTTTTATTCAAGCACCTATTGAAGGACACTTCAGTTGTTTCCATGTCTTGACCCCCATGAATAATGCTGCAATGAACATAAGGGTGCATATGTCTTCATGAATAAATATTTTCAAATTTTTCAGGTAGATACTCAGAAGAGGTGTTGTTGAGTCATGTGATAACTCTATTCTTAATTTTTCGAGGAACCTCCATACTGTTTTCCATAGTGCCTGTACCAGTTTACATTCCCACCAGCAGTGAAGGAGGGTTCCTTTTTCTCCACAACCTCTCCAACACTTGTTATTACCTGTCTTGTTGATAATAGTCATTCTAACAGGTGTTAGGTGGTATCTCATTGTAGTTTTGACTTGCATTTCCCTGCTAACTAGTGAAGTTGAGCGTTTTTCATATATCTGTTGGCCATTTGTATGCCTTCTTGAGAGAAGTGTCTGTTCAGGTCCTCTGCCCATTTTTTAATTGGATTGTTTGTTTGTTTGGTGTTGGGTTGTATGAGTCCTTTATATATTTTGGATATTAACCCCTCGTCAGAGCTGCTGTTTGTAAATATCTTCTCCCTTTCTGTTGGTTGCCTTTTTGTTTTGTTGGTGCTTTCTTTTGCTGTGTAGAAGTTTTTAGTTTGATATAGTCCCATTACAGCATGGTATTGGCAGTAAACAGACACACAGACCATGGAACAGAATTAAGAGCCCAGAGTTTATGTTTAACACTGCGACCTAGAAAGTCCTGTAAGTTCTCTGTGTCTCCATTACTTTATATGTTAATTTGGGATAGCCACCTTCATGGAAATGTACCAAATCAAATAATGTGTTTAAAAGTACTATGTAGGTCATGTATATTTGCATTAATCTCTCCCCACTCCCCACTCCTCATCTCCCCTCTGAAATTCATCCTTTGGACACAATAGTATGGAGAAGACCTGGCGGGGAAGGGAGGATGCTGGATGGATCAGTGGGGGAAAAAGGGGACATCTGTAATACTTACAACAACAACAACAAAATAAAGTAAAAGTACTGTATAAACTAGAATATGCCATAATATTTATAGAATATTATTTATATAAAATCTTATGTGAGCAACATGATGTTTTACATATGTCCTGAGGTTTTTCTATAAAGATTATCTTGTATGTGCCAATCTCATAAAATATTAAGGTAGCTAAAATGATTGTACTAGCACACTTAGGAGAAGATTTGGGTATCATTCAGATCACTGTAAATAGTAAAATTTAAATGACCAAAATACATTAAATTTAAACATAATAATTGTTGTAAATTAAATTCCTAAATTTGATAAATATCCAAATAATACTTTCTCTTGAAGTCTTATGCTCTTGCCTATTTATTAATAGTGGTTTGTTGAATTAAAATATGGATGTAAACATTATCCTCTGGCTTGATAACCTTTGTTCATGTATAGAATTAAACATGCTAAGGAGTAACAAACTCTAAATGACAACTGTATTTTCTTAGCTAGGCCATCCACTTTAAAAGGATGGGAAGTGAAAATGAAAATGTAGGACACTTGGATATTGGGAACTGCTGTAAAGCTCTAAGTATGTTACTCCTTACAAAACCACCTGAGGTCTAGGGACAAAAAACGGAGGCTCAGAGATGCTAAACATTCCCACTTTCCCAGAGCACCAGCATCAACGAGGGATGAAGCTTGTGTTTGAACCTGCTGTACCTCCCATGAACTATCAACCATATTTCTGCAACATTAAATATATATATACATATAAATATATATATTTCAATGTTCTTCTTGATCATTTTTTTCTTTTTTCTTTCTTTTTCTTTTTTTGAAAGGTGATTTATATTGATTGCAATGGAAAAGAAAGATTGAGCCCTGCTGGTGTGGCTCAGCGTTGAGCACCAACCTATGATCCAGGAGATCGAGGTTTGATTCCCGGTCAGGGCACATGCCTGGATATGGGCTCAATCTCCAGTAAGGGGCGTGCAGGAGGCAGCCCATCAGTGACTCTCATCATTGATGTTTCTATCTCTCTTTCTCCCTCTCCCTTCCTCTCTCTGAAGTCAATAAAGACATTAAAAAAAGAAAGAAAAAGAAAAGATTGAGATTTTAAAAATAGAGCCTCTAGGATCACTTTAATTTTTTGTTGAAATAACATAATTGGTTTTCTCATTCTTAAAACATAAACTTTTGAACAACCACCAGAGTATTTTAACTAAAATCAAACCACAACCTTCAGGAAGTTATGAGTCCGGAAGACAAGATTGGGTAAATGTCTCTACAAACATTTTAATCGGGGCAACTGAAAAATGCCTGTATAGATTTTCTCATGAAAGATGGCAATGAGAATAGAAGACTATTTGATAT